ATAGAAAAAAATTCCATGATGCTACATAATTAAAAGTAGAACAATTTTTGTATAAAATTGTTTCCAATAAATTATATATATATATATATATATATATATATTCAATATATATGGAGAAAAATGCTTTTTAGAAAGAACTAGACTATAAAACATTTATATATATATATATATATATATATATATATATATATATATATATAATATGAAGTAATAAAAATAAACGATTTTTGAAGAGTGAGTAATAGAAAAAAATTCCATGATGCTACATAATTAAAAGTAGAACAATTTTTTGTATAAAATTGTTTCCAATAAATTATATATATATATATATATATATATATATATATATACTTTTTGTAGAGTTTCGAACAAGAATCCAAAAATAATACAAAATAAAAAAACAAGAAAAGTTTTTAATAAACAATTTCTTTATTTAATTATTTGTTTACTGTCAACGTTTTGGAACTAGGTACGTTCCATCTTCAGGACATCTGTCAAGAAACATGATCTTGATGAGATTTAAGATACATATAAGAACACTAAAAAACTTATTATCAAAACGTCTATTACTAAACTGAAGATAATTTTTAAAATAGTTTCAAGGACGAATTCAATGTACTTTGTGGTAGCAATTTGGGCACGACATACCTAAATGCTCCTACTATGACAACAAATATTAAAATCAATTTTTTTCATTTTTAATTAGTAGAGAATTCATAGTTTTTAAAGTCATTTTTAAAATGACATGATTTTTGGAAAGGTGTTACTTCCGAAGAGCTCTTCAGGATTAAGTTATTTTATACATCACTCTGTCAAAGTCTACTTTAATGTCAACTACTGCAATTAGTGAATGATAAATCGCAATATGGTGTATAAAAGGATTTTCTAGGACTTGTATCTTTTTTTCTACAAAAATATCAATTTCAAGAAGCTCTTCAGGTTTAACCAGACTACTGAAATTGATCCATTTTTTTTTAATAAATTCTAATTTAATTACCAAACATAAAATTTTAATATCAGCAATATGTTATTCAATAAAAATATTTGCATTTGTTATTAACAAATTCGTGCACAATTATCTACCAATAACATAAATATATCCTAGTCAACAAAATCTATTACAAAATTTCATCATTTAGCAAAGATGTGCTAATGTAAAAATTTGCAATGATGCACTTTCAAATTTTTATTATTCAATGTCGCAAAATTGATATTTATGCGGTCTAATGCAAATTTTTATTATATTACAAATTGATTTTGAAGATCATATTTATTTCCAAATTGATTCCAATGAAGTCAGAGGTCATGTTGCAAAATTTTTGGGAATTGTAAATTATGTTATATATTTTTATAAACAAATTATGCAGGTAAACTATTTCGCAAAACTTTTTGGTTTATGTAAAAGGTTATATTTATATTTGCAATTATCTATAACAATTGTTTAAACAAATACATTTATTTGAAATCTAGACTGCAATTAATACAATTGAAGTAAAACTTCTTAGAAAATTTAACTCTGAATCATTACAGAAATAACTACTTAATTATATTTAATAATGATTTTATGAAGTGTAATAAAATTTTAAAACAGTTCAAGTAATAGTTATAAATATAAAAAAAAATTAGAATTTCTTTAATTAAGACTCAAAAAATAGAGTTTCAGTAAATTTAAAATACTCAAATTTAAACATTTTGGCACTAACAATTCTTTCTGAAGAATTCAAATTACATATTTTGGAAATGGCTCTAATAGTGTTCTCTTTATAGATTTTTGTTAATAACTCAAAATTTTATAAGAAAGTTCACTAAATCAAGTTTCAAGTATTGCAACTAATATATCGAAGTATAACATACAAAAATTCTAGTATTCTAGCGCCAAAAGTTCGTCCTTAAGAGTTCTTTGAAAACCTCCATCAATAAAAAGTTATTTATTTATTTATTTATTTATTAAAATAATCAGATGCAAGGCATAAATATATCTTAAACTTGATCAGTCTCCATTGAAAAAATAACAATATAATAAAAAATGCGTCTTAAACGTGAAAACGTATTATGCGTTTTAAGGATAAAATATTTTAATATGTTGGGAACGACTTAAGGTGTCGTATTATGCGAGAAATTGTATTAAGTCGGCTTAACTAATCTTTACTGAAGCATCATTGTTTTCTAACAAATTTATATTTAATGAAAGAAAATTAGAAAGTTTTAAATATAATTAGATATATATGTATATAAATGTATAACACTTTTTTTTATAAAGTGTTATATATAGATATATAGCCAGGAGCAGAATTGGACATCATTGTAATTCCGAAACGTGTTGAGTCACTTTCTGTAATCATAATATAATTTTACATACATATATATATATAAATATATATATATATATATATATATATATATATAAAATTATATAATTAAAGAAAGCTCTAATTGATGACTTGACACAATTTATATACAGAAGTTTCATAATTGTTTTTATACTTGCTAAAATAAATAGTAAACAGTTTGTCTGGTGCAAGTGAGTACTTGCATAAATATAAAAAAATATTTCTATTCTCATATATTTTTAATATAAGAATGTATTTGTTATCATAGTAGATATGTTAAAGTATAACACATTTTCTATAATGAAAGTGTTATACAAATGAGCTTACCCTGAGGTACACCTAAAATGATAATGTTCCTATAAAACTAAAGTTGTCAATGTGTTGGTGGCACAATAATTTAATCAGATTATTTTTTACGGTTTTAAAGTAATCTATTATAGTATTTGTTGTTATAGTAGACATATTAAAGTATATCTCATTTCTAAAAAAATGTTATATAAATTAGCCTACCCTGAGGTACTCCTAAAATGATAATGTTCATATTAAACTAAAGTTGTCAATGTGTTAGTGTCACAAAAATTTAATCAGATTATTTTTTACGTCTATAAAGTCATCAATTTTAGTATTTGTTGTTATAGTAGACATATTAAAGTATAACTCATTTCTAAATAAAATCTTATATAAATTAGCCTACCCTGAAGTACTCCTAAAATGATAATGTTCACATAAAACTGAAGTTGTCAATATGTTGGTGCTAGATCAGATTATTTTTACGTCTAAAAAGTCATCAATTTAAGTATTTGTTAAAATAGTAGACATATTAAAGTGTTATATATTAAAATGTAAGAATTGTGGAACAAACGTTGTGCACTGAGGGTGGTATTTTATGTTCTTATTGACCAAACAAGTACTTTTCACAGTAAATTGTAAATATCTCGAAATTTTGTGAGAACTTATCAATTTTAGTATTTTTTATCATAGTAGCCATATCAAAGTATAACATACTCAATTTACAATAAAATTGTCAATCCTGATGAGCTCGTTGAAAATTGTGCAAAATTAAATTTTCGAAGATGAATCTGTGAATAATGGAAAGTTTGTTATGAAAACTGAATATTTTGAATTTCCAATAAAAAAATAGCAATTTTAGTATTTGTCGTCATAAAAGACAACATTAATTAAATTAGATTAAATTACATTAATCTTATAGTTACGTACTGAAGAGCCCTTTAAAAACTACCGACACCTTATTAAAACACATTTTGACAATGGGTCAAATAATATATTTGTTCTGAAATATTTTTTTTTATTATTATATAATTCTTTCTCATAAAATTAGAATAAAATTAACATAAAGCGAAATCCATTTCCTCGATTCATAGATTCAGTCCACTTGTAGGAGTAACGGTGAATTATTTAAATTTTTATGTTTTTTTGTTGTTAATTCGACTTTCTACTTAAATGTTGCATAAACAATTGTTGTTAGATAGGCAACAATAATTGTGCAACCTGCTATTTTTAGTAAAAACAGCCACAAATGTATAAAAGTTGGTATATGAAAATATTAAAAAAAAAAAAATTAAGTGGATCAGAGATCTGGACGTATATATGTATTTTATTGTCTAGTACTAGATTTTGTATGTACCCAAAGAAAATTTTCAGTACCAATCTATAAAAAGTACACTTTTTGATCCTTTGCTATTGGGAAGTCCTGCATAAAGTAAGGTGATGAGGGGTTTTAATGAGCTCTCCAGGACGAACTGTTAATATATAGTTATTGCAATTCAAGTATATTATACTTTAATATGTCTATAATGATACCTTATACTAATTTTAATAAGTCTTCTCAGAAATTTTTGAAATACTAATAATAATTGAGGTTAAGTGCACTATTTAACCCGTGTGGACCTACGGATTACAACTTTGGGGTACTGCTAAATAGGGCAATTTAAACATAATACAACGAGCACAAGAAAAACAAAATGGATTATTTTTATATCTTTTTCCCCATATTTGTCTTTAGTTTTTTTTATATATTAACTATACGCCACTGGGCGTATCCACTAATTTGTAAACAATCAATTGTAAACAACTTGTCAGCATTTTCTGCTAAATATAATTATTTTTATAGATTGCAGAATGAAAATAAAATAAAATAAAATAAAATAAGTATACTATTTGAATTTTTGTCAATACATTAGTATCGATTCCAAAGGGCTCCTCAGGAATAACTATTTACACTAAAATACTATGATATTAGTATGTTATACTTCAGTATATCAACTACATATATATCAAGTTTAAATTATGAATTAACACATAATGTGTGAAAAATGAAAGTAATACTCCGATTAAAAAGAAAGACTTCTGTTGTTCTTCTCAAGAGACTTCCTGAAGAAGTCAATCTTAACAATTAGCCATTGTTTTAACAAATAACTCATGTTAAAATTCATTATCCATTAATTAAACACGTCTGCATGTTATAATTTAATTCCTCAATAGGTTTCTGAACTTTATATAAACATACACATTTGCAAACAATCAGTGCTTGCCTTACAACGTCTCATTCTTTTTCGCAAAAATAATAAATTATTATTCATTATTTATCATTCAATATTTAAATGCAAATATATATTAAAAACAATTTGTTTTAATTTTTTCTTCCCCAGTTGATCCTAGGCTTATGCCTGACCTACTCCTTAGCCAATCCAGTCCAAGTTGAACAAGAACAGCAGGTTCTGGTTCAACTTATAGAAGAACCAACAAGTCAAATCCAAGAACAATCTCAAGAACTTTCAGTTAGACAGAAGAGGGAAGAAGAACAGACTTCTAAATTAGAAGACGAGGTCAAGAGTGAAGTTTCTGCAGAAAACTCCAATCAGGAACTCGTCAGAGAAAAAAGAGGTAAGAGAAAAAATTAATTGTGCCAACTCTGGTTCTCAAATAGTCTTGGTTTCTGGTCTTCAATATAATTCCTTTACCCCAGGTTTCCATCAACCCAAGGGTTACTGGTCAAAAAAGTTGACGTGGAAAGCAGAATGGAAACAGATCTGGAAAACAGAGAAAAAACAAGCATGGAAAACTGAGTGGAAGAAAATCCAAGTCCCTGTGTGGAAAGAAATCCAAGTACCAATCTGGAAGGAAATCCAAGTACCAGCGTGGAAGACTGTCCAGAAACCAATCTGGAAAGAAATTCAAGTACCAGCATGGAAAGAAATCCAGGTAAGATAATGGATGGTCTAGAATCACTAGGTTGGTGCATGTTGTTGACTTGTTTTTTTATCCAAGGTACCTGACTGGAAGAAGATCCAAAAACCAGTATGGAAAGAAATCCAAGTACCAGCCTGGAAGGAAGTGCAAGTTCCTGATTGGAAACAAATTTGGGTACCTGAATGGATCAAGGAAGGAATTCCTGGAGAGAAATATTTAGGTACATTAATCAAAAGTTTGTTATTTTATTAACCAGTGGTTAATTTTTTGTTGGTTTGTTTTAGGTAAGGATCATGGTGGTTGGGAATACACTTCTCATGATTTGTGGCGTAAGAAGATGATCTGGAAACCACACTGGAAGAAAATCTGGAGGACAGAGAAGAAGCAATACTGGGAAACCCAAAAGAAATTGGAATGGAAAGAGGTTGGTAATGACATAACTGATGGATTTGTGAACTCCTTAATTTTGTGTAACATTATTGAAAAAAGCTCCAATTTGGTATATAATTTGGATATTGGAAAACAAATGCACCAGAAACTTTTGTTTGTCTCCAAATTAGTGCTAACTGATACCAATAACTATTTTGCACAATTTTGCGACTTCAATCTTCACTTCCGTTCCAATTTCTTAATTCTATCTTATTTTTTCTTAGGAATGGAAACAAATCTGGAGAACTGAAAAGAAACAAATCTGGATCCCCCAAAAGAAACAAGAATGGGTCGACGAACAAGTCCAAATCTGGAAAACTGCCAAGAAACAAGAATGGGTAACTGACAAAAAATTGATCTGGAAAGACGAATGGAAAGCAATCCAGGTAAAACCAACAAAACCATCTAAAACTTGGCCAGAACTTGTCTTTTACACCAATTATTTTTTACCAGGTCCCAGTTTGGAAAGAAATCCAAGTGCCAGCCTGGAAGAAGATCTGGATTCCAATTTGGGAGAAGGTTTGGGTTTCGGTGCACACACACGAACACCACGGTTGGGATTGAGAATGAAAGTTTGGTCTGAAATTGTGGATTCATATAGCTGTTGTATATAGTAAGTTATTAGGATAAAAATTTGCCAACTCGTTAGGATTAAAAATAGAACAAAGTCGTATCGAGAACGAATTAGGAAAAATACTCATATGTGGAAATGGCGCTGAATGGAGGATTGAAGTCACTTAGGAAGAAAATAATAATTATAAAAATGTATCCAACCCAGTTTTCTTTTCTTACAAACTTCTGTCTTCTATTGTAACTCTATCTATTTTTATATCTATTCTACTCTCTTGATCTGTATTCAACAACTGCGTTTTTGGATGCCAATATCTTAATTCGTGTAAAAGCTAGCATAATACTGTCTAAGACAAAAATGTTAAGCAGTCTTTTTTCTTTACAAATATCTAATATGAATCTATAAATTTTTCTAGATTTTGAAATATTTGCAATGGAGTCATAACATGTACCAGGTACATACGTTACAAGTTGTAAAAAGTTTATAGTTTAGATCGGTTAAACTCCTAAAAATCTAATGGGACGCAAAAATGTTATTGCAACAAAAATTGCAACTTGGAGACCCAATCAACTTTTATGATCACCATGATATATTTTACTCAAAATACAATACCAGTATAAACCTTTTAGGGAAAATTTGTAGGCTATATTATAAGCTTCAAAAGTTGTTAAGGACCCACTTCTGCAACTCAATGCACTCCGAAGATATTTGCCTTACAGTAAATAATCATGTACCAGCCTTGTGCAACCTTTAAACGATCAGATGCAAATATTTGACCCAACCTAAAGAAGTATGCACTTCCGAATGCAATTATTTACACTTCCTGACTCTTGTGATATATTACATCTTTGGAATATTTCATATCGTAACTTAACATCTATAAAAGGTCAAGAAGAGAAAGACTTTCCCTTTCTATAACAAGTCTAAAAGTTCACTGCTCGCGTTAACAAGATTCAATTTAGCTCATCGAAAATTTTTTTCTCCGAAGACTTCAATCCCAAAATATTTTTTTACCTAAATATTGTTACTAAACATGGGTTCCGTACCCTAAACACAGCGTTACTGTAGTTACCAATTGTAAATAAAAGAAACCCACTCGACGAAAAATTGTATATATAAATATAAATATGTTTCCTAAACAATTTTGTATATAATATTATTATTATTAATAAAATAGTCAAATTTATCCCAATTTATCCCAAAACCCTTAATTTTCAAATCCTGCCCTGTATTAATTTTAAGTTTTATATAAATATATAAATAGATGTTATGTTTGCAATATATACTTTAATATATTTGTATAATTTTTTTAAATAAACATCATATTGAAAAAATAACGTTTTTTTATGTAAAATAAACTTTTGCAGATGTTAAGGATTTGCTTTTTAGTTGTTTAGATGCAAATATTTTTGTTTAGGTTGAGTATACGATAAAAATTTGTTAAGAAAAGTTTTAGAGCCCTTTTTGAGTTATAAAAATTGTTAAGAATGTGTTGATGAAATGTCAGTGATTTCCAAGATATTTGCAAAGAAGTACAAAAAACGTTATTTTACTGACAAAGAAATTAGTAGGGGGAAGTCCCGTAACGCCGGACGGCACTAAGCACCGGACACTCTATTTACCACCTATTATTTAAGCGAGTATAAAATCTTTAAGTGAAAGGTGACATGTGATCAATGCAGGTTATTTTGAAATGTCCGGCACTAGGTGCCACTGTTTAAAATCATATTTTTTATAGCAAAGTTTGATTGATAGTATTAATTATTTTTTAGCAAAGATTGTGGTTTTGTTAATTTAGTTTGATTTCTATCTTTAATTTAGTTAATTTAGTTTCTATTTCTATACTTTGTTATCTAATATGAATCATAATTTAATAAATATTTCGTAAAAAAATTTTTATTTATTTATAAATAACCTTAGGTGTCCGCCACTTGGGGACTTCCCCATATACATATTTAGATAACAATGGTGTTGTTCATGTTCATATGGACAAATACCGTTCAGCAAAATTTTATAAGATTTCATAAGCTTCTAATATTGTTAAGGGGGGCGATACATGTAACAAGAAAAAAAAATCGATTTTTTTTTTCATAAATCGTTACAATAACATCTCAAAAATATGCCTGTAAATATTCAAAACAAAATTATCATTATTTACACAATAAAAACTCATTTAAGTGCCACGCCTCAACTCGACGCTTGAGTGCTATTGTACTCTTATCTGTTTCTGTGTCAAAACTTTAAACGCGTTTTTCTCAAAACGACATTTTTGAAATTTGCGGGCGGGATAACTCAAAAAGTTCTCAACCGATTTCAATGAAATTTAGCACACATCTACTTTACAGTAATAGCTTCTAGTTAAACCTCAAACATTCCAAAAAGATTTTCAAGAATTAACCCTTTTACCAAAAAAAACATTGAAAAGAAGGTGAAAAATCGAACTTTTTTTTCTGAGGTGTGCCAATTTACGATTTTGTGACTTTTTTAATTTTTTTTTTGGTTTAACTAGAAGATATATGTTTTATGAACACGTACAAACTAATTTGTTTGATTTCAAATCACCGTACGAAAAGTGAGAACGCCCGCAAATTGATGGCGTTTTCCGAGAGGGTCTTGGCAGATTTATTTTTACGGCAGCCATTTAAAAAAAAACAAAATTAAAAAAAAAAATTTTTGTGTACTTTAATATATAATAAATAACCCTAAAAAAGTTCAAAAAGATTCAGTCATTCCTTCCCAGTTTGAAAAGTCTTCAAAAAATGGTAAAAATAAAGGCGATTACATGTATCGCCCCCCTTAAAACAATTCAGTGATATCCAAGATTTAAGCTAATAAGAACAAAAATGTATACCTACCACAAAGTGGGTCACACAAATTTGTTTGTTTAGTAAGCAACGTTATTGTTTCATATCTTACTATAGACAAATATTATGCAGCAGAAGAATAAAGATATTTATATTTTACAAAAATTTGTTAAGGTGTTGATAGATTTTCAGTGGTGTTCAAGATATTTGCGAAAAGGTGCAAAAATATCTCGAGTTACATTGATTTATTTAGATACCAATATTGTTGTTTAGCATGTTTATACAAAAAATGCATTATGAAAAATGTGTAGAAAATTTTTATAAGTTTCTTAAATTGTGAAAAATGGATTAAAAAAAGAACAGTGGTTTCCAAAATTTCTGCAAAAGGATACAAAATCACATTGCTAATATTGGGATGCAACAATTCTTTCTTTGATCACTATGTTGTTTAAAAAAAATGTTTAACAAAGTTATAAAAGAATTTATAAGTTTCAGAAATTGTTAGGAACGTCTTGGCGGAATTACAGTGGTATACAAAATAAATTTTCAGTGGTGTTCAAGATATATTTGCTAAAAGGTGCAAAAACATCCTGAAGCATTGAGTTACATTGATTTGTTTAGATACCGATAGGGTTGTTTAGCATGTTTATACAAAAATGCAGTATGAAAAATGTGTAGAGGATTTTTATAAGTTTCTATAATTGTTAAAGATGGATTAAAAGATTGACAGTAGTTTCCAAGATATTTGCATAAGGATACAAAAGCATACTGAGATACAATAGTTTTTTTTTCATTATTAGGTTGTTTGAAAAATATTGTTTAGCAAAGTTCCAGAAGTTGTTAGGGACGTCTTGGTGAAATTGCAGTAGTATCCAAGATAAATTTTCAGTGGTGTTCAAAATGTGTGCAAAAAGGTACAAAAACATCCTGAAGCATTGAGTTGTTTAGAAACCAATATTATTGTTTAGCATGTTTATACAAAAATGCATTATGAAAAATGTATAAAGGATTTTTATAAGTTTCTAAAATTGTTAAGGATGGATTAAAGGAGTGACAGTGATTTCCAAGATAATTGCAGAAGGATACAAAAGCATACTGCATATTAGGATGCAACCACTTGTTTATTTGATTACTATGTTGTTGTTTAAAAAATATTGTTTAGCAAAGTTGTAAAGAGATTTTTTAAGTTTTAGAATTTGTTAGAAACGTCTTGGTCGAATGACAGTGGTATCCAAGATATGTGCAAAAATGTACAAATATATATTCAAGGATTTGTTTGATATGAAATAATGTGAGCATTTTTTTTTACTTTTTTCACAAATATTTCTTAGTATTTATTGACAACGATATATATTATTTTATATCATAATAAAGCTTATTAAAATCTACATAAAAGTACTAAACTATAAAAAATTTCTAAAAAATTTAAGTAAAATTATGTTATTTTACTATTTTTTGCAGATGTTAAGCATTTTCTCCTTAGTTGTTTAGATAGAAATAATTTGTTTTAGGTTGTTTGTATGAAAAAAAATTGTTAGGAAAAGTTATAGAAAATTTTGTAAGTTTTAAGGGCTGTTAAGAATGTGTTGGTGGAATAACAGTGGTTTCCAAGATATTTAGAAAGAAATGCAAAAATACATCAAGGCGTGGTTTTATTGATTTGAATGTTTAGATAACAACGTTTTTGTTTATAATATTACTACAATGTTGTTTATAAATGTTGTAAAAGATTATTTATATGTTTAGAGTTCAACAAAAATAAATTATAACAACAAAAATGTTCATATTTTAAATTATGTAAATAGGTAAGATTGTTTAGTTTTTGTGCAATGTCTATAATTTCTTTTTAGGGAAGGTGAATATATTTATATATCACGAGCTATAGAATAAAATATAGATTAAATAAAATTTCATAGAATAAAATTAAATTAAAACTTCATAGAATAAATGTAAACTGACTTTAAAATTAAGAATTAAATTGCACATTTCCGTACTTCTTTATTCTATTTACTCTTAATTTTAATTAAAAAATGTAAGTAATCACAAGAGAATAGATAAAATTCTACATAAAATGGTTATATAATACTCTTAATACGATTATACTAAAATTGCATAAATTTTACGATTGAAATTCACATTCATAGAATAATTGCAAACTCGACAGAAATTTATATGAAGGAAGTGAAACA